ACCTGACAGAGTGGGTTCCAGGCTGCTTCTGGGTCCCAAAAGCCCATTGGGCAGCGACTCCACACCAAATGGTGTTGATCACTTTGCCTTGTAATGACATGCTGGATTAGGCAGAGCCTCTAGCACGGGTGGACGGTGACTGTAGCTGAGAGATGAGTCAATGATGGAGACCTTGCAATCTACGCCCCCAGCTATATGATGGTGCTGTGATCTACACCAGGACTGGGGACTGGAGTACCTCTGAAGTCCGACGATCGCCCCATACAAGAGGACTGCCTCGGGGACTGACAGCCACAGGGACTGGGGTGATGGTCTTGGTCCCTGGAATAACTTTGCAGCTAGTGCAGCAGCTGGAGCAGAAGGAAGGGTTGGTACCACAGTCCTTGCTGGTAAGCGTGTGCCCCACAGGTCTACGGCACTGCACTGGCAATGCATGGTGTGGCCCGCATTGGCAGGAACCCAGGTCTGGGGATTGCTGCAGGCTCTTATGGACCTGTTTCCTGGTGTCCAATGAGTGTCAGTGCCACAGAGACGAGTGGCGGCGGGATGCTCCCCTGGACTGGGAACAGGCCCAAGGGACAGCGACCTCAGCATAGGTCCCAAAGCTGGTTTCCTGTACTATAGCCAGGGTGGGCGGCATCAGTTTGACCAAGGTATCCTGCGTGGCTTGCCAGGCTCCAGTATAGACAGCGCCTCAGCATGGCCACAGCCCTCACCGCTGTCCAGTGTTGTAGGCCTGGATGGGGCTGTGCTAGACCACCCGGCCCACGTCAGTGGCCAGGACACTGACAGAGGAGACGAGTTACCCAACGAGGGTCATGGCTCTCTTCTCCTCTGCTTATGGAAGAAAAAACAGGGCTATGTAGCACTTTAAAGACTAACAAGATTGTTTATTAGGTGATGAGCTTTCGTGGGCCAGACCCACTTCCTCAGATCAAATAGTGGAAGAAAATAGTCACGACCATATATACCAAAGGATACAATTAAAAAAAGAACACATATGAAAAGGACAAATCACATTTTGGACAAATCAAACCCCACCTCTAATATCATTAACTCACAGACATTTACCTTCCTTCCCCCCTCCCCCGCATCCCCCTCCTGTTCTGAAATGTGATTTGTCCTTTTCATATGTGTTCTTTTTTTAATTGTATCCTTTGGTATATATGGTCGTGACTATTTTCTTCCACTATTTGATCTGAGGAAGTGGGTCTGGCCCATGAAAGCTCATCACCTAATAAACCATCTCGTTAGTCTTTGAAGTGCTACACAGTCCTGTCTTTTGTTTCAAATTACGGAAGGTGAGAGCCGCCTCTCACGGGTCTTTCAGCCTTCTAAAATGGGGCCGATGTGAGGGACCAATGCTGGCTGGATAAGGGTGTCAAGGGATACTTGGCACCAATGCCATGGCGCTAAGCACCACACAGGAACAGTTCTCGGGTGCTGGGGCCAGCGTTGACTATCAGGATAGTCTGGAGACAGACACTTCATTCCCCGTTAGTTCTGGGCTTGAACAATTTGCAGATATGACACCTCTTACTGACATGTCTTCCTCCAGGCACCAAGCAGCTGCTCTGAGTGTTGCTGATAGGCACAGGACACTTGCAGTGGTCACAGGGTTTAAATCCAGGAGATCACGGCATGTCCCAACTCAGGGCAAAAAGTCCCATCTGGGACCAAGGACTAACTAATTGTGGATAAATCCCTGTAAATCACTCCCATATAACTTTGTATTAAGAGAGATCTCTGTTAAGTGTTCTTATAGAATCTCTGTAACATTTCTCCTATAACCTTGTATTAAGAGAAACTTTCCTTTTTATATATATAGATCTTGTAAGAAAGAATGTCTTTTGAGGGCTCCCCTTTCCTTGATGGTCCTGTTGAAATGAATGAGGTGTGAATGGAGAATGAAAGGGGAGCACCTCCAGCAGCAGTTGCAAGGGTGGAGAAGGTCTGGGAGCCAGACCCAAGACAATACCTGTGAAGTGAGCTCATTAAGAGGACTGGACATACAGAGGCCTTGGGAGCCAAGCAGCAAGTGCCTGCCCTTGGAAGAACTCTCTTTGAAGCAGCATTAAGAAAGGCTAGTTGATGACTAATTGGCTGCAGGGGAGGGATAAGTAGGAGGCATCTTGCAGAGGGACTCCAGGTTTTCATCTTGTCAAAATGGGAGCATCGATCCGGATCGGCAGAAGCCCGGCTCCACCCCTCGCCCATCTAACTCACCTGGACAGTGCAGTTAGAGGGAGCAACTTTTGGTAACAAGAAGACGGGGAGAGAGAGAGAGTGCATGAGTGTAATGTATTCTATGCATATGATAAATATTGATTGATCTATATATGTTCAATAAATGTGGCGTGTTGCTTTATCCCTCTGAAAAAGATCCCAGATGCTTCTTTTAAGCCAGCATAATTACAAAGGGAACTACTAGCTAGAAATATTTGCAGGAAGCAAAACAGAGGAATAAATGGGCCGTTCAGCTGAACTATGCAAACAAGCTTGCACTATTCTGCAGAAGGTTCCAGCACCATCACTGGTGGCTAGAAGGAATTGAGTGGGGAGAGGTGCATGTGTGGCACCACTTATACTGCACATGAAGGCACCACTCCAGGGACACCAGGAGCTCTCCCTTATGGGCAGGGCTCGACAATCTATGTAATCTACTCGCCCGTGGTGAGTAGATTACATACCGGAAGAGCTGGGTTCGGGCGATCTGCCCTGCTTATGGGTACTGCTAAGTACAGCCCCACAAATCTATGGATTTCTGCTTTGTCTGTGGGGATCCACTGCTCATTTTTGTGAATACAGATGCAGATAAAAATTTTGTATCCACACAGGGCTCTACTGTGAGTTTGAGTCCCCCATTCCTGATCCCCTACCTGCCCCAGGAGCCCTGGTGCATGTGATGAGCACACGTACAACCCTAATGTGGAACGCACACCAACAAGCACTCAGAAAAATCAGAGATTCCCCCAGGCATGGGAGCATGGCAGGACACTGAAAAATGGTAACGGGAGAAAAATGAGTGACAGGTCCTTTGAGGTTGTTTCACTGGCTGAGTTGAGAAGGGGACAAGTCAGAGCCTGGGGGTGTGGGGGGGGATGGTGTTAGGTAGAGTCTTGGAGTTAAGGACAAAATGTTCCAACATGATGAGCCAAGGGAGCGGCAGCAAGAGCTTCAGACAGAGTAGTTGGACATTTGACATAGACCTGGCTGGGGCAAAGAGGGTGGAGCTGGGAAGGGACTGGGAAATTTTAGGTTTCTTCCAACTTGACTCATTTAGTTATTTTCACCCCATGTTTCTACTCTCTCGCTAGGTCCTCTTGCCATATTTGTTAGTCCTTCCTGGTATCAGAAACTTCATCAGCTTTAGAATTTTGTGCTGGCACTCATCTCCTGAGTAATTCAAGTCACTCAGGTGCATAACAATGTCCTCCAGGACTTCAAGGAGTCTTCAGCTCTACCAACAACCACAGGACATGCTACATTAATACCAACCCTGGAACTTTTCCTTGCAACAAACCCCGTTGCCACTGTTGGGGCCCTAGGAAATAGGGCCTAGTGCTAAGGCAGACCAAAAAGAAGCTAACAAAGGTTTCTGGGTAGTCCCTGAGCAGAACTGGAGACATGGTTCAAGCGAAGGCGCACCTTACATACTTGCTTAGGTTGCAAAGGTACGATAAGTGAAAAATTGCATTCTTGTACCTGCTGTGAGTGGAACAGCTTGTTTTGAGAACTGATAAACCAACTCCCTATTTCTGTTCTCCCTCGCTGATCTTAACTCCCTGTTTCTGCCTCTGTTTGTTCTTAACTCCCTGTCTCCTTGTTGCCTGGTACTTGTCTTCTGTGATTGATAAGAAAGTTGCTAACGCATTATGAATTGCTTAAGACCACAATGTACGATTGGCCAGATATGCATCAATACTAGAACTTTCTAACTAAAAAAAGGGGGGTGGGTTGCTTGGGTGAATAGTCGCGACGGAACTGTCTTTATAAGCCTACCTGTTATTGGAATTGGGGCTGGTTCTCTTTGGAGATGGGCCGCTCTCTATTGTTGTGTGCACTCTTTAATAAAGAGCTTGTGATTGGATCTTGCTGGTGTTGCCTGTCTCTTTGTGGTCAGACAACGAGCCGAGGCCATCTGGAATAGCGTCCCCGACAACAAATTTGTCCACATATTTACTCTGGTGATACCATCACTAACCATGTCAATTATACGATCAAGGACACATATTCCTGTTCGTCCAAAAATATAATTATGCCATCATGTGCCAATAGTGTCCTTCTGCTACGTATATTTGACAGACTTCTCAGACACTTCGCCAAAGAATGCATGCCCACAAATCAGACATCAGACATCTTCACAAGGAAAAACCTGTCAGTTTCCATTTCAACCTACCTGGACATAGTCTTAACGACCTTACAACATGCATCTTATTTCAACGAGACTTTAACACCAGATTACAGAGAGAAACTTCAGAACTTTCATTCATGCTTAAATTTGACACTTTACAAAAGGGCCTTAGAAAGATGCTAATTACCTTACACATTACAAAGACAGCTTTCCCACTTATCACCCCTGATTAGCCACTCATTGACTTATACACAGCTATTCCCTCCCACCCTCTCCCTCGCTCCACCATCTGTTCTAAATCTGATTTGTCAGTTTAATAATGTGTTCACTTTTTTTCATTGTATTCCTTTGGTATATATGGTCATGCCAGTTCTCTTTCAGAATATGATCTGAGGAAGTGGGTCTGGCCCATAAAAGCTCATCACCTATTAAACCATCTTGTTAGTCTTTAAAGAGCTACATAGTTTTTCCTTTTGTTTTAGCAGGAAAAGACTAACAGGGCTACCTCTCTATTATTATTCCCTGCTTACAGAGAGCTTTGCTTAACTAGCTTTTGGTTTGTTTTTCAAAGAGCAAGTGATTTAGGGGTGGGTCAGAGATCTGCACCTTTCTGGATAATTCCCCAAGTGGCAGCTCCTCTTTTTACCTTGACTGCTGAAGAACTTTGATTTCTGTTTCCAGGAGAAAGCAATTTCAGGAGGGATTCTTCCCAGGAGCTCAATGATACGAGCAACATGATCTGAGGGGAATGGGGGATGGAAGATGGGGAAAAAAGAGAAACGGGTTATTTAGATTTTACTAGGGAGCTGCACTCCCTGCTTGCTACGCTTTGTCTGACACAGCTAGATCGTGGCCTCTCCTCCTACCCATGCCACAACAGGAAGGGGGCTGCTACTCACAGAAAAATCAGAGGGACCACACAAGAGAGAAGAAAAAGGAAGCCCTTCCAAAACCCAACCCTCACTGATGTGGCTTCCAAGTGAATCACCTCACTCCCCTGGTGCTTCAGCCCCAAAATAGGGGGAAGGACTGAGGTTCAAGGCCTCAGGCCAAATTAACTCTTCTGGGACAAGGCTACCAGTGAGAGGGATAGGGATGGAGGGGTGCAGGAGGTGACGGTGTGAGCTCTGGGTGGGAGGTAGGGTGTAGGAGCAGGCTGGGGGCAGGGTGTCTGGCAAGGCAGGGAGAGGAGCAGGAGAAGGCTGGGGGGGAGGGGAAGAGGAGCAGGCTATGGGCAGGAGTGGTCTGGGGGGCAGGGTCTCAGCAGGGAGGTGAGTGGGTGAGTGAGGGGGCAGGGAATGTGGGGTCTCAGCAGAGCAGTGAGGGGGCCAGGGGTGTGGGGCAGGAGCAGGGCAGGGATAGGGTGTTTCTGGCTAGGAAGAAGGGGGCAGGAGTGAACTGGAGGGTTGGGGTCTGGGTGGGGAGGTGAGTGAGGGGGTTGGGAGAGAGGGTGGAGGGCACTTACTGGTCTTCAGCCCCATGTCAGCACCTGGCTCGGCCTTCCGCTGCTTCCATTAGCCGAATTCTGGCCAATGGGAGCACTGAGAAAGGCTCCAGATTGTGTGCCCGCATGCTGCTGTTCCCCCAACCTGGGAGGGAGAGCGTGGGGAGGTTCAGGGCTCTCTCTCCCTCCTGCCTCCCCCCAAACCAGCAGCAGGAAGCCAGTGTAGTGCTCCAACCACATGGGGGAGGAGAGAGGGCATCTTCCCCACACAGAAAAGCTTGGGCCTTTCTCCCTTCCCTGCTCCCTCTGCAGCAGGATGAGCCCAGTCACTGGCTCCTGCTCTGATTCCACCGCCTCAGGTGGTGACTCTGGCTCAGGGCTCTGCAGTGGCCGTGGGCTGCCTTTGGCAGGGCAAGCAGGGGGCGGCGGGTCCTATGTTGCCTCGGGCTTGGCACTGTAGTGCGACAGGTTGGAGAGGGGCTTGAGCACCTGGATCATGAAGTAACTGGGCAAGTGGGCCGATCCGGATCTGCCTGGCCCCAGATCAGCCACTTGCTGAAGGAGTGCTTCTCCTTGGCACTGCCGAGGCCGACTGGCCCGACACTGCTAATCCTGGACAGGGGGGAGGGTCCACTGGTTTCTCCAGTCTCTCCCCTTCCCACCACCCCAGCTGCTGGGGAGGAGGGAAGGGGAAGACGCACAACTGAGGGCGGAGGAGCAGGAGGACAAAACCTTTTCCCGTGAGACACAAAGTGACTTGCTGACATCACTCTGCCATTCCACAGGAACATGTTTTTAAATATATAGAGATGATCTTTTCATCAATGAAGTCACTGAAGATGATAGAATCTTACCATCGTCTCTGGAGAAATATTTCCCAGCCCGGGGCTCAAAAAGGCACTCACCAGTCACCATTTCAAATGCCTGGAAATGCAATAGCCTGTTAATCCACTCAATGCCACAGTCAGACAGTAAAGAGATTCATGCTTCACCTCTCCCTCCCCTCCCACAGCCAGACCACCATTTTTCATTTTGCCAACACTCCATGACACAGGTAAGGAAACAGCTGGAGACACCTGCATTCCCAGCTGTGCCACCACCAAGATCACTTTCCCCTTTGGCTGGGTAAAACTCTGTGCATCTCTGGCTCAGTGTGACATATGTTAGGTTCCATGTGTAGAGTACTAATTGCCTTGTAATCAACAAGATAATTAAGAGGAGTTTATCTGCAGTACAACTTTAGACTGAAGTTGGTTATGTGCAGAGGGCTTATTTTTTAAACATGCCTTCCTCAGACAAGACCTGTCTTATTCCCAAGTGCAGCAAGAGAAACAGCCATTCATACAGGGCTCCTGATGTGCCATTCATGTTCCCAGCTACAGTCACTGACGTCACCAGTATCCCCTGGGCTGAGCATCCCTACCAGGCAGGCCGTGCTCCAGACATCTGCTGGAGTGCTGTACTCTAACCCAAGAAGCACCTCCAGGGCTCGGTAGGGCTGAGTCTGGATCTCCTTGGCCAGTGGCTTGTACTGAAACAGAAAGGACAGACTGGTGTGAGTGGTTCGCAATTGATTAAAAGCAAAGAAAATCACAGCTAAGTCCAGGACACATGGGGCTGAGACACCATGGATCGGGAGGGTGCAACTCGTGTCTCACTGCGGTTCTAGGTGTGGCCCACGAGACATTTTGTTTGCTGTTGCCCGAGCGCAGGATCGCTGTCAGCCGACGGTCGCCTGTCTGGCTACAATCGCCAGATTCTGCTGGTTTCTGGCCATGTCGGTTTTTTTCCTACCACTATTAGTCAAGTGACACACATATAAAGCCACGGCATGTGAAGTGAGGTGCTGCTCATTGCACATAACAGAGCCATGCGCTCCCTCTACAGCCAATCACAGCACTGCTGCAGTTCAATCGGCACAGCCTGCAAATTTTAGGTGCACAAGCAGAGTCAACAAAACTAGCCCAGGAGACAAGATGGTTACTTCCCTGTAACTGTTGTTCTTTGAGATGCGTTACTCAAGTCCATTCGAATGAGGTGTGCGTGCGCTGCGTGCATGGGTTCCGGAGCGCTTTTCCCCAGCAGTACCCATCAGGCCGGCAGGTGCTCCCCCTCCTTAGTTCCTTCTTGCCGGAGACTCCGACGAAGGGGAGGTGGGGGGGAATCAAATGGACATGAGCAACACATCTTGAAGAGCAAGAGTTACAGGTAAGTAACCTTTTCTTCTTCTTTGAGTGATTGCTCATGTGCATTCGAATGAGGTGACTCCCAAGCTGAAACCTTACAGGGGCGGGGGCGGAGATACACTCCTAAGCAACACAACTCAATGGTTGTAACCAAACCAATCATACCTGTTATTTAACACAACAAAGTAACTCATCTGAGGTATGTGTCATTTCAAAATATATTCACTCTCTTTTTCTTTTCTTAAGGTTTACAGAACTGAACTGAGAACTGCGGAGCCCAAAGTAGCATCACTCCTGGCCTGCTGGGTAATCGCATAGTGCGCCGTAAACGTACCAACAGAGGACCACGTGGCTGCTCTACAGATTTCAACTATTGGGCCCTGTGCCACAGAGGCTGCTCTAGTGGAGTGTGCCTTAACATGGGGTGGCTCCCTGTGCACCAGACTAGAACCCTCCCGTATACACGAAGAACTCCAAGAGGACAGCCTTTGGGCCGATACTGGCAAGCCCTTCATTCTTTCTGCAAAAGAAATAAACAACTGAGATGATTTGCAGAAGTGCCTCATTCTGTCTGTGTAAAAGGCGAACACCCTTTTTGCATCCAATGAATGGAAAGCCTGCTCCTTAGGGGAGAGGTGGGGCTTTGGAAAGAAAACAGGTAAATGTGGAACGAGGAGACTACCTTAGGGAGGAAGGCTGGGTGTGGACACAGCCTGACCCTATCCGCGGAGAACACCAAATACGGGAGATTGACGGTCAAAGCGCTGCGCCGAGGTTACAGTTATTCTGAAGGCCACCTTAAGCAATAGGTACTTAAGCGAGCTCATGGCCAAGGGCTCAAACGGGGGAGACATAAGCACAGTAAGCACCAGATTAAGATCTCACTGAGGCACAGGTGCCCTCACATGTGGAAACAAACCCTTGAGTAACCTCTTAATGAGATGATTGGTAAAAAGGGATCTGCCACCAACCCCAAGGTGGAAGGCCGACATGGCTGCCAAATTGACCCTGACTGAAAAGGTAGCTAGGCCTGCTTGATGCAGCTCAAAGAGGTAATCAAGGGTAACCGGTACCGGGGCCGAACAAGGGTCTAGCTCCCTGCCCATAAGGAAAACCTCTTCCATTTGGCTGTGTACGATTACCTGGTAGCCGGCTTTCTGCTCCCCAGCAGAACCACCTACACGCCCTCCAAACAAGCAAGCTCTGGCTCTGTCAACCATGGATAAGCCAGGCTATGAGGTGGAGGGACCTGACATTTGGGTGGTACAGGAGACCTCCGTCCCAGGCTTGAATGACCAGGTCCTGACTGGGTGGGAGAGGCTGCGGCTGGTCCCGCACCATCTGCAGCATCATAGGATACCAGAACTGCCTGGGCCAGTCCGGGGCAATCAGGATGACCTGGGTCCTGAACTGCTTGGTCTTGGCTAGGACCCTGGGAACAGTGGGAAATGGGGGGAATGTGTACAGCAGGCCCCAAGGCCAATCAATGACCAGGGCATCCCCTCTGGACCCTGTCCTTAGGCCCAGGAACGAGAAATAATGGGGGCACTTCTGTTCACTTCCGTAGTGAACAGGTCCACCTGGGGATGACTCCACCTCCAGAAGAGATGTAAAAGGACAGTATCCTTCAGGCGCCATTCGTGGGCTCTGAAGGATAGGCTCAGCGTGTCCGCCAGCGTATTCTTGTGGCCTGGCAGATACGCCGCTTGGAGGTGAATGTAGTGGGCTATGCAGAACTCCCAAAGGAGAATAGCTTCCTGACAAAGGAGAGGAGCGAACCCCCCTGTCTGTTTATATAGAACATGGCTGCCGTGTTGTCCAGCAGCACCGACACTGATTTCCCTGAGAGAGGAGCTAGGAAGACCTTGCACGCCCTCCTGACAGCCCTCAATTCCCTGACGTTGATATGCAAGTCCCTCTCGCGAGGGGCCCACAAGCCCCGTGTCCTGAGGTGCACCTAATGCACGCCCCACCCCTCGTCTGAGGCATCGGTTATCAGTCTGACCGAGGGGACCTTGGCCAGGAAGGGAATCCCTTTGCACACTTCCTCCTCTCAAGACCACCACTGCAAGGAGTCTGCCACCTCCTGTGGCAACAACAGGATGGAGTCCCAGTGAGCTCTGGCCTAGTTGAAAGACCTCACCAGCCAGGCTTGTAGGGGTCTAAGCTTCAACCTGGCATGGTGAACGACATGTGTGCAGGCCTCCATATGTCCGAGAAGCTTCACGCAGGTCCGAACCACTGTAAGTGGAGACAGCGTAAGCTCATGCACCATGGTCGCCATAGTTTGGAATCTGGCCATGGGGAGGTAGGCCCTTCCCCTTCTGACATCCATGTAAGCTCCCACAAATTCTATGTCCTGAGAAAGAGTCAACAGAGATTTCTCCTCGTTTATCAGTGGCCCAAGCTCCCCGAAGAGGGATCTTGTAAATGTTATGTGGGCTAGCACCCGATCCTCGGAGCGGCCCTGAATGAGCCAGTTGTCCAGGTATGGAAAAACTTGGACTCCATGCCTTCTGAGGAATACTGCCACCACCGCCATACATTTTGTAAACACTCTGGGACAGTGGAGAGACCGAAGGGAAGCACCGTGAACTGGAAGTGGTTCTGAGCCACCACAAACCGGAGGAACCTTTGGTGACCTGGCCGTATGGCCACATGAAAATAGGCGAGAGTGAGAGGACCTCCTACTGGAGAAGGACCTTGTGAGATGGGTCCCTGAAGAGGGACTGGGAGGGAGGGAAGGAGGTAAGGGAGCAGATCCAGAAAAGGGATGGAGTAACCCATCCTTACCAGGCCTAGCACCCACTTGTTGGAAGCGATGCGGGCCCAAATTCGGGAAAAATGGGACAGCTTGTCCCCAGAGGAAGGGGTGATAATGGAGGCTGGTAAAGGGTCCTTGGGTGCTCCTTCAAAATGGCTGTTTAGCCATTTAAACCTCATTTTTGGAGGAATACAGGATCGTCGAAAAAGGGTTTATTTTTGACAGAACTGTGTCTAGACTGCTGGGTTTTTTCGAAAAAGCTCCATTTTGCCAAAAAGTGGTGGCCATGTTTATGCTAATGAATCACAGGATATTTAAATCCCTGCTTCATTAGCAATTTCAACATTCTTGATTTGCATCCCTCTGCCGACAGAGGGATGCAGCCTAGATGTAGCCTAGGGGAGTCTGGGCACGGAGATTGAGGGCAGTGACTGCCATGGGTCTTGCGGCCAGGCGCTCTGCCCCCAGCCTCCTTCCTCCTCTGTGGTGCCGGGGACTGAGACCGGTGCCTCAGTACTGAGGTCCTCGGTGCCGCAGTATGGGCAAGTCCCGGCTGAGTGACCCACACCGACGCCAGTGCACTGCAACCTTGAGGGATGGCGCCGGTTGGAGAGCCGACTCCATAAGCAATAGTTTTAAACGAGAATATCTCTCTCGCTTAGTGCAAGGCTTAAAACTCCTGCAGATCTTACAGGAGTCAGTGAGATGAGACTCTCCCAGACACTTTAGACAAGAGTCATGAGGGTCTCCTCTTGGCATTAGCTTAGTGCAGGACGCACAGGGTTTAAAGCCGTGCGGGCCTGGCATCCCCCTCCCCCGGAGGGGAGAGGTAAACTGAAAACTAGCTAACAACTTGAAACTATGACTGGAACACCAAGAAAACTGCCAATGAGTGTACAACTAACTCTCGCTGGGCTCTGTTACGAGAACAAAGAAGCTCCAACAACTGTCATGGGCGGTAAGAAGGAACTGAGGAGGGGGAGTGCCGGCAGGGGTACTTATGCTCCGCTATAGTGGCACCACTCCGGGGGGTGGGGCAACCTGCCAGCCCGATAGGTACCACTGGGGGAAAAACACTCTGGAAACCGTGCATGCGGCGCGCGCGCACACACACACACACACACACACACACACACACACATTATTCGCATGCACTTGAGCAATTACTCGAAGAAGAACGTCTTGGTTCTGACCATCCTGCAGCCCAGTGGGATGAAGGAGGCTGCCCATGCAGCCCCTTCGCTAGCCTGGGCTGCCCACCTCTGCCGTGGCTGGTGCACGCTGAATGCACATACCCAATCTTATGCAAGGCACACAGGTCAACACACTGAGCCCCACCAACAGTCTCTTCATGCTCAGACACTCCTGCCAGACTGACCGTGTCTGGCATTTTGAGCTGCAGACACTAATTGTGTGCACACACACTCTTGTGCAAAGCATGCAACATGGCTCAGAGTCCAGAGTTCAGCCTGGAGCTAGGAGGGCAGAAGGCCACACACATTGCAAGTAGAAAGCAAAGCCCCTTTCACAGTCCCTAGTGCAATGCAACTTCTCAGGAGATGGGCAAACGCTAAAAGAGTCGGAAAAGAGGGGACAGGCTCCTGCATCATGGGGTGAGAGGTGGACCTGACTCACAGTCCAGCAAGCACTGCCCAGGTCAGCAATTTTCACTCCCATTTTCATTATACTGCAACGAGCTGACTGACTGGCAAGAATTCCTGCATGAAAAACCCAGAGAAATCAACTTGAATTCACAACTTCACTAGACACTAAAAATCACAGTATTCAGACAGACCCTGGATTTATGGCTTATTGCAACCAGGCTGGTGCCCTATGCAGCCCAGCACTGGTCCCCCCCATGGCACAGCAGCTATTCCATGGGCCACGGGGGGAGGCTGCAGAGGTCCAGGAGAATTGGCAGCCCTGGAGTCAGGCAGGAAGGGAGGCTCATGGGCAGCCTCAGGGCATCAGGTGGGAGGCACAGGGGCAGCAAGTGGTGCAATCACAGGCTAGGGAACTCAAAGGACCCGTGAGCAGCTGCACAGCTGGCAGGAGACAAACGGCACGTTGAAGGGGAAACTCGTTTCTCTCCGATGGCAGTGGTGAGCGGGACTGAGTGCACCTTATGGTGCTAGATGGTGGTTGCTAGGGGCTGCCAGAGCTGGCACAGCACTGAGCCCTTGGGTAGGTGGGGTGACAACCAGGGGATGGGGGCTGCCGGAGCCCATACGCAACACATGACTGCATAGGGCACCATGACTTTTGGGACAATTTAGCAGCAGCTTGGCTCCCTTTGAATTACTGATGGAGCACTAGAGCGCTGCTCTGCACAGCTCTAAGGGCTGGGGGTTGGCTTCATCATCAGGAGCTATTGCAGCTGCAACAATCTGCACTGAAAGCCCTGTTAATCCTCGACAAAACCCCAGCCATCCAATTATCCTTCACCACATGCACCCTGGCATCACAGTGGTGCTTCTGTCCCCGCCCCCCAACACCACCCCATTGCTGCAACCCATGCACCAGGGGGAAATTGCATCCTACAAGGTCTCCTATCTCAGGGGTGCATTTGCTCACGCCCTCAAGGCAACTGAGAAGCAGGTGGACAACTTTGAAGGGAATTCTGGAACACTTATTATGCAATTAACACCATTGGTGAGGCACAGAATGAGGTGAACGGTTTTTGAAAAAAATTCTGTCCTGACTTTGTGTCTGATTTCCAAGGATTCAGACACTGCTACAGAGGTGACCCAAGCACTTGCAGAGACAGGTAACAAACTTAACTTAGATGTTGCATCAGAGGCTGAGGAGGAGTTGCTGGCATCCCATTGTGAGGAATTAACTAATGAGGATCTCAATGAATTGGAAAAAGCAGGTGACAGAGGAAGAAGACGATGTGCCCACTACTGAGACTCCTGCTCGTGAAGCCTTGACAAAGAGTTGCTGAGGCATTTCAATATTTGTAAGTTGCCATATCTTTCTTTGAGGAACATGACACCAAAACTGAACATCATGCATCTGTGAATAGGAGCATCCCCAGTACCGCTGCTCCAAAGAAATTTACAAGGAGAAAAGTAGAACATCTGTTGAAACTTCCTTGGACACTTTCTTTTAAGACTGCAGAGAAACCTGTAGCCGAGACTTTAGAGGAGCCCCCTGCCAAGAGCCCTTCAAAAAGTTCTGTAAAGTCAAAGCATGTGTGATTTATATGTTTACTTGCATACACTTTGCCAAATACACACACTGATGTTGCTACATTAGTCTTTATAATTTGTTTATTACAAAAAAAAATCTGGGTTATTATGGTGAAAATAGTGTAACAAGCCTCGGTTCAGGAATCAGTGCCCACCTTCTCACAGAATCCTAGAAACCCAGAATTCTAGAAATGGATTGGAAATCGAGAGAGCATCAAGTCCAGTCCCCTGCCCTCATGGCAGGACCAAGCACCATCTAGATCATCCCTGATAGACATCGATCTAACCTGCTCTTAAGTATCTCCAGTGATGGAGATTCTACAATCTCCCAGGTAATTTATTCCAGTTTTTAACCACTCTGACAGGAAGTTTTTCCTGATGGCCCAACCTAAACCTTCCTTGCTGCAATTTAAGCCCATCACGTCCCCCTGTCAGTCTTAAGAACATAAGAATGGACATGCTGAGTCAGACCAAAGGTCCATCTAGCCCAGTGTCCTGTCTTCCAACAGTGGCCAATGCCAGATACCCCAAAGGGAGGAATCACAACAGGTAATCCTCACGTGATTCCTCCCCCGGCACCCACTTCCAGAGAAACAGACGCTAGGAACACCATTTCTACCCATACTGGCTAATAGCCATTGATGGACCTAACCTCCATTAATCAATCTCTCTCTTTTTTGAACCCTGTTAAAGTTCTAGCCTTCACCGCATCCTCTGGCAAAGAGTTCCACAGGTTGACTCTGCACTGAGTGAAGAAAAACTTCCTTTTGTTTGCTTTAAACCTGCTGCCTGTTAATTTTGCTTGGTGACCCCAAGTTCTTTTATTGTGAGAATAAGTAAATAACTTTTTCTTATTCACTTTCTCCACACCACTCATGATTTTACAGACATCTATCATATGCCCCTCAGTCTCCCCTTTTCTAAGCTGAAAAGTCCACTTTTTTTAATCTCTCTTCAGATAGGACCCATTCCAAACCCCTAATCATTTAAGTTGCCCTTTTCTGAACCTTTTCCAATGCCAATATTTATTTTTTTAGATGAGGTGACCACATCTATATGTAGTATTCAAGATGTAGGTGTATCATGGTTTTATATAGAGGCAGTAAGATATTTTCTGTTTTATTCTCTATCCCCTTTTTTAATGGCTCCTAACATTCTGTTTGCTTTTTTCACTACTGCTGCACACAGAATGGATGTTTTCAGAGAACTGTCCACAATGACTCCAAGATCTCTCTCTTGAGTAGCTATAGTCAAATGAGTCCCAATCATATGGTACATATAGTTGGGATTATGTTTTCCAAAGTGCATTACTTTACATTTATCAACATTAAATTTCATTTGCCAGTTTCTTGTCCAATCACTTAGCTTGGTGAGATCTTTTTGAAGCTCTTCACAGTCTGCTTTGGTCTTAACTATCTTGAGCAGTTTGGTATCATCTGCAAATTTTGCCACCTCACTGTTTACTCCTTTTGCTAGATCATTTATAAATAAGTTGAATAGGATGGGTCTCAGGACAGACCCTTGGGGGACCCCACTAACTAGTTACCGCTCTCCACGTGGAAAACTTACCATTTATTCCTACCCTTTGTTTCCTGTCTTTTAACCAGTTATCAGTCCATGAAAGGATCTTCCCTCTTATCCCATGACAACTTACTTTACTTAAGAGCCTTTGGTGAGGGACCTTGTCAAAAGCTTTCTGGAAATCTAGAGTATACTACATCCACGGGACCCCCCTTGTCCACATATCTTTGACCCCCTCAAAGAACTCTCGCAGATTAGTATAGCATGATTTCCCTTTACAGAAACTATGTTGACTTCCCCCCAACAAATTATATTCATCCATGTGTCTGACAATTTTATCCTTTATTATAGTTTCAACTAAGTTGTAACAGCGGTAGAGGTAGTTGATGTCTCCCCAGTGCTGGGCTCCAGCACCACAGACAGTGCAGCACCAGAGACCCCAGCGCCGGGGGTGATGGGAAGTAACGGATCAGAGGCAGGGAGAAGGGAAATCAGTCGGTCAGAAGGAGAGGACAGTTATTGTCCTTCCAGAACATGGTGATTCCCCCTTTGAGGCAGCCGGGGTCAACCCCAAAGCCTCCACCTCCAGAGAGAGGAAGGTGAACCTGTTGCCAGGTGGTGGCCCTGAGCAGCAGGGTCAGCGGCTGCCTCCTCAGCGGAGGTGGGGATGGACGGAGCATTTTCCACAGAAACTACCCCTTTCACAGATCCCGGGAGGGAGGTGGTTACCCCTCCCACAACAGCTGCAGTCACCTCAACTGCCCCATGACGCTGTGAAGCATCCAGGGGCTCAGAGGGAGGGATGGCTCCAGCATCCACCCTCATAGGTGCAGGGAGGTTGTCCTCCCACTCAGTGGGCAGGGTGGAATGCTGGGCACGTTTGCAGTGACTCCCCGTGACAAGCTCCTAGCTCTTGGAGGAAGAGTGCTGGGCCCGAATGGGGGAAGAGCCAGGGGATAAGGGTAGCGGTGGGAGGGCGAGGGAAGATGGGGGCCAGACAATAGGTGCAAGGGAGACCTCCCCCTGAGGTAGGCCCCTTCCGAGTCCCGTCGCTGACTCCGCTGCCCTCTCCTCCGTGGGCTCGGCCTTGCCGCTTTTGGTGGTGGCAGCAGCACCCATGCGCTCGTCTGGGCCCTGCAGAGCCTGAGCGGGACTGACAACGGTCATGGTTGGAGGAGGAGCAACCCCAGAGTCCAGACCATCAGGTCCACTGGCAATGGTGGGGCCGGTGCACTCCCGGGCTCCTCTCTGAGCCGGGCCAGGGGGCAGTCCCTTTGGACGTGACCATCGCTCGACAGAGAAAACACCGGGCCTCCCCCATGGTGTAGTACACCCGGTACAGGGCCCCTTGATGGGGCACCAGAAATGACCCTTCTAGGGCTTCTCCACCACATCCTGCTGGCAGTAGTTGGATTTATACCTGCCGGCTAAAGGAAAGGACGTGGAGGAGGGTAGGGTCCTTGCAGCCCAAAGGAAGGGACTTAGGACTAACAAAGGCCTCCCCAGGGTGGAGAGGAAAGGCAGTAGGGTGGCATTGGGGAGGAAAGGAGGGAAAAACCACCTATACGCCCAGGTCCTCCAAAGGCTTGAGGGGAACGTGGACTTCCCCCACTACCAAACCCCTCTCCACCACTTTCTGGGTGGCAGCCTCGGACGCCAGAAAGAATACCACCTTCCCAAACATCCTAGAGGCTGCCACCACGTGTGCCAAGGCCTGCACATAGGTCTCCATTTGGGGCAAGGCCGACACATGGAGACAACGCACCCCGTGCCTCCTGGTCAGGGTGGGAAAGTGGCTGCAGCTGCCGGAGATGGAATTCCGGGAGGCAGCTTGGGAGGAGGCAGGCGGGGGGTGGGAGGGTGGTGGCTACCTGGGCGTATGCCCTGGGGGCCGGAACACAGTCACCCCCAGAACTGGTGGAAGGAACAGGGGGACAGGAAAGAGGGGAACCCGCGGCCTCGGCAGGGGGGTTAGCCTTCGCCATAGAAGGTTTTGCCTTCCGGGT